CCCCAAAACCCCAAAACCCCAAAACCCCATAAATCCAAATACCTACTCTAATCGCTATAGTATATAATTAGTAATTTATTGAAGCGTAAATCATCATTAAGATTTTTATTTGTAGTAAGCTTTTGCTTTAGCAACAAAGTCATATCTAGTGTTAAAGATTGGATTGATTCTTCTTAACTAGCTCTGTTCTATTCCACTAATGTATATTTTCTTGTCTTGAGTAGCTGGCTTCTAGGAATCCTACTACTCTGATGATTTAAACTCCTCTCCTTCTTTAGATTAACTTGATAGCTAATTATAGTTACCATTGAAAGTTGCACTAATATCTTTACCCTCTATTCCAGAGTGAAGGGACTCATAGTCACTTAGATGCTATGCGATTGACATGCCTGAAGCAGCGTAGCAAGTGTGATAATAATCTGGAGTCTTAGTAGGTTTATCCTTCAAGCCACCATTTTTTTCTTGACAGCATATTACTGTATAGGCTTAAAGTGCTTCCTGATTGAAAAGAAGTTCACCATTTACATTGCCATTACCCTTAAGAGCAATATCAAATAATTCAAATGAGGCACCTTGCCAGAAGTTATAGCAAGAATCAACAAGCTTGTTTATACGACCATTAAATCCACCCTCCTCAGTTAACTGTCTTTAAGCAAGCCAATCAATTAATCTGTCGAGATTCAATTTGTGAGTTTCATTTAAAATCACAAGTGCAGCTAGTCCACAGAATGTATAACCTCCATGAGCTTCACCTAGTGGGACACAAGATATGCCTCCCTCATAAGTTTAGCATGAGGCAACAAAATCTCCCACTCCTCTAGTGAATTCCTCGTCCTTGAGGTTCAAGATGTCTGCGATGACCATAGCGCAATATACTCCTCTCATATCAATTTCTCCATTGATGTGAATTTCTACACTTCCGGGCAAACTCGCAATTACTTCAGACACTTTAGTTGGTTTAAGCAGATCTCCATTTTGATCAATCAAGTTCCAGCCTGATCTCTATCCTTAGTTTTCATATCTGTAGTTATTCTTGATACTTTTCAAGTATCTTCTCATTGCTTCAACATCTATGATATTGAAGGCTTCCTGAGTGCCAATATTTACAATAGCTAAAACTGCAGCATAGGATGAAGCTAAATGACTTTAGTGATATGGAGCACCTGCGAATCCACCTTATTCTGAGTTGTGACATTTCCTAAGATATTCCACGCACCTTGATTTTTACTCAGCATTCAACTCGAATCCTTCCTGATTTAATACTTCTAAGGCTTCAGTGAGCCAATAAATAAACCAAGGTTATCCACTATCAAGGCCAGACATTCCTTTAGGCAGTTTCTCAAAACCTCTCTTAACAAACTCTGAGTGCAAATCGTTGAAAAGCTCTACTCCTTCTTAATCATAGTCCTTGGCATTAGGCGGGTCGAGCTCGAAGTTGTGATACATTCCCTTAATCAACCTCATAAGAGTAAGTGGATCTTCATGACTCATTTTTTATTATTAATCTTTTTAATTATTTGAAATTGAATTATTGTTATTATTTCTCTTTTAGTGTCTCGTAAGTTTGCGAAAAACCCCTAAAAGTTGAAAAACTACAATTATTAATAAGGCTTAGAATAAAGGGTCATCTAAGTAAGAGATTACCAGTTCTTGGATGATTTAAAACATTATTATTTATATATTCTAAGAATTCACCTTGCTCTCCAATTTCCCCATTATGGGGTTTTGGGGTTTTGGGGTTTTGGGG